GCTAGTTGCCATTTATTGATTTTGTTAATGTGCTTTCATTTGAAAAAGGGTTAATTTATCATGCATTAATGGCATTAATGTGATTTATTTACTAATCTGCATACTGGTAGGACAGGTTGTGCTCGGCTAGTGAGACCCTATGTCTGTTCTCACTCTGTGTAGAATTTCTGCCAACAAAAGGGATTTTATTTTAGCCCATGAAACTGCAGCTACATTTAGGGGGATATTTATCAAAGTAACACTTTCCTTCACAATAAATTCTGCTTGTTTTCTCAGATATCTCCATTACCCAAGACTCCCAGGTTTACATTAGTGGGAAAAAGAGAAGTGAATCATGAATCTTTTGCGTCATCAAAAAAATACCGTATATTCCCCCCAAAAATAGCGTATTTTCCAAAAAAGATGGTTAGGGTACAAAAAGCAACAGATTTAACAATCAGATGAATTCAATAAATTGCACCATAAACTCACTGAAAATTGGACAGAAAGGGTTGGAGACACTATGATAAATATCCCCCTTTGTTTCTATGAATTGGAGCTGCGGTTTTGATGGGGTGTACTGACGAGTGCTCAAACTCCGGTTGGATCCTTTTACTAATTAGCATCACTAATAAGTATTGAATCACATTTTATTTTATAATTCTTTATTTTACTTGTGAAGATAGGAACAAGTTCTACCCCTTAGGTGTTGCTGCCTACCTTAAAGGCACAGTGGCCGATGTGTTTAGAGCCTATACCCTTATCAAAGGCTCTTTAAAATGTGAGTTTTTCTGTCACCCATTTATGTTTCACTAAGGTGTTGCTGTACAATACTACTCTATATATTTTTTTATTCTGTTTATTTTACATGTATACCCCGTACTATTACACTTTGGCACTGCACTTATTGCAAGTAGTGTGGTACTCTGACTCACTGCTTGCTAAATTATTATTATTAACACATACAAATCACCCATTTACTCTGCAGAATGTTACAATTTTTAATGCGGGATTATAAGAGTTAATAAGAAACAGACTATTATTAAAGTTAACAGAAACCACACGTTTAATGAGGATTTTACAATAGAGGAGTTGAGTTACGAAAACACATATTTGCAGTAAATGTTTTGTTAATGCCAGAATTCAGATTTTAAAACTATCAGCAAAAAACATGTAAAATCGGTTAATGTGAGTTTAATGCCACACACAGTAGATCAAATAATCTTTAGAAAAAGCCATCTGTGTATGAAATGAAAGAGGCACAATACAATAGTACCGGGGTTGCTGTATCTCTGGGGCAGAATGGGCACAAGTTCTCGTATTCTCATTTTTTGATTCAATGCATTCGCTTAGACTCTCCCTAAATTGAAAGGGTAATCCAGATGTGCACACCATGCTCATTTTGCCATGAGGGATATCAGTTAAATTTTACTAACAAGGCCCAAAATGATCATGCAGAGAGAACTTGCCGGCATTTCGGTTCTGGATGGCCCTTATGGATAGGATCGGTCTGATATACAATGGTATCGATTCTCTCTGTAATGGCACTAGTGAGCAAACACTGCTTTGAGACCTGAGCGGGGATTTACTGAAGGGCAAGCAACTAAGCTTCTGTCCATTCTCACATTCTCTGTTTTTGCTACAATTTAATAGTACCAGGGCTATGGAAAGGTATATCTGGTATAAATCATCACGGTCCGTCTTCCATCAAAATGTAAAACACTGTGTGAAGATTCCCATGTGGGTGTCCAGACCAGTTTGATACATTTTGTCTGTAAATAACATTGAAATGTAAGCGGCTACCTGGAAGTGAGGCGGTATATACCAAGGGTCTGATTTCATTTATAATCTGACATTTTGTACATCTGCATTCAACGGAATGCTAGAATGAGGAAATTAATCACCGGATCTCATTGAATCTCATCATTTCACTCAGTTACGATGAATGATCTTTGTGTTTAGTAACCAAGGCTGTGCTTGTCCTAACGCTGCAGAATAAGCTGGTGCTATATGAATACCAGTAATAATAATAATAATAAACAGGTGAACTGTACCAAGACCGACAGGCGGGACAGGCCTGTAAATAAAGAGAGCTGACCGTGAGAATGAAATAGTCGAGTTAAAAGGGGAGAGGAGGGTGGATTTCGGTCAATACGAGTGTGGTATAGACCGCAGGTGTTTTAAAGGCCGAATAACTCCTCCCATAACTTCAGATCTTGCGTCCTGAACATGTATTACCATAATCACTGTATCAGAGCACTGATGGGTCCCCACAGAGCACAATGCATGTTACATCTATAGGGAGACTGTAAGCACACAGAAGTTTATAAACCCCTGAACGAGGTGGCCTTAGATCACGCAGAACGCTCACACTACCATTCCAGCCAGTCTTCCTGGTGATAATTAATAAACAACACAGGAAATAAACTAACCGCACACAATCAGTGAGAATTTAGGGGATTTCCAGATTAGTGAACCAGATAAATCTAGATCAGTGTTTCTTAAAAGGTAGAATCCCAGATTTTTTAAAACCACAGCTTTCACAAAGCTCTGCCATTCTAAAGGCGTGCAAAGAATTGTGGTAGTTGTAGTTCTACAACATCTGGTGATCTACCTTTTGAGCAGCCCTTGTCTAGATATTCTCCCTCTGCACGTTTTTTGCTTTGCTTTTCATAAAAATATTGTATTTTAGAATTTATTACAAAAGGCAAAAGACCGGCAGTCGCTGCTGTTTCAAATTACTGACTGATTTATTGATCTGTTGTTGCATTGCGACTTCTGCAAACATTGCAATTTGTGGGGAATGTGTAACGACTCGCTGTATGGATGACACGTTTTGCAGGAATAGTAATAGTCATTGTGTCATATCCCCAAATTTTCTATAAAAACAAAATAAATTCACACCAAATCTTAGCATATTAGAAATAAACATTTATTAAAAATCAATAATATTGACAGACATTAATAATTTGAGAGGGATTTTACTGTACAAGTTATCGTTATCCTAATTTATCCTCTATCCTATTTTTAGCCCTTAATGGCTAATAATTGCAGCGCCGTTCCACAATGCACTGCAGACTGATCAAAGAATTACATTTCCTTTCCACTAATTAACACTCGCTAAATAAAAGTCATACATGGGTTATGTTAAAACAAGGGGAATAATTTGATCTTTTTTTAGAATTTATTATATGTGAATTTGTAAGGCACAACCTGGCACATCATGCTAATCATACTAGGTCCATGATACCACAAGTGGGGACAATGTAATGAGAGGAATGTGAGTGTTTTTAATCTTTATACCTGTCTACTGCAGTCTCCATCCCTGTAAGTGGCTGAATGTAATTAAATGGTTTAAGAATCGAGGTGACAATTCCTCATGAAATCAATGAATATTCTATTAATTGGTATAACAAAATCCATGTGTAGATATAGCTTTATACATGTAATCTAAATATTAGTAAAACACACAGCATGCAGGAACATTGATACATCATGGATTTCTTCATTTATAAAATATTTAGAATGCCTTCCAGAGTGTTACATTACTCTGAGACGGTTTAACGAGATATAATAAAGTAATTCTAATTATTATATTTTTGAGGAAGTAAAGGATAAGGCTTTAATGTACAGCAGTTCACGATGTGTTCAGGCATTCACTACACTAACACATCTTCATTACCGCTGACATAACAAAAGCCACATTATTTCACACGAAGAGTCCTATTCTATAGTAATAAAGATATTAATAAGAAGAATTCAATAAACATCAGAAAACATCATCGTTACATGAATTTGTTTTTTGTTGACCTGCACATTTTGTTGAATTGTTCCCATAGAAAGTGTAATAATCAGAATGATCTATCACGTTCCCTGCTATGTGTCCCTAACATTGGGGTTCCGTTTGTTTCTCCGTGGTGTGTTTGGGACAGGGGAAGATTTTCTTCAGAGATTGTTTGAAGTCCATTTCCTTCCACAGGATGGTCCTCGGGATTTTCAGTTATATTCACTGAGGTGTAGCGAACACTAACAAAGAAGGCTGGGAGTTATTATATTGGCACAAGTTAAGTGACTTCATATTTTCTGTTTTTCATCCTGGGGTCATAATCAATCAGACTTGGGTTACAAAAGGGCACCAAAAGGCACCAATTATAGAGCCTTCTCCAGCTAGTTACATGGAAATCTGTTCTACACCCAGCCAGTTACATAGAATTCTGTTCTTGACCCAGCTAGTTCACACAGAATCCTCTTCTAGAACCAGTTAGTTAACCCAGAATCCTGTTCTAGTCCCAGCTAGTTCACACAGAATCCTGTTCTAGATCCAGCCAGTCCACACAGAATCCTGTTCTAGACCCAGCTAGTTCACACAGAATGATGTTCTAGACCCAGCTAGTTCACACAGAATGATGTTCTAGACCCAGCTAGTTCACACAGAATGATGTTCTAGAACCAGCTAGTTAACCCAGAATCCTGTTCTAGACGCAGCTAGATCACGTAGAATCATGTTGTAGAACCAGCTAGTTAACATGGAATCCTCTTTTAGACCCAGCTAGTTCACACATAATCCTGTTCTAGACACAGCTAGTTAACCCAGAATCCTGTTCTAGACCCAGCTAAATAACCCCAAATCCTTTTCTAGACCCAGCTAAATAACCCCAAATCCTTTTCTAGTTAACCCAGAATCCTGTTCTAGACCCAGCTAGTTCACAAAGAATCCTGTTCTAGAACCAGCTAGTTAACCCAGAAATCTGTTCTAGACCCAGAAGGAATTATACTTTCCTGATACTTACCAGCATAGATTAAGCTGAACATGTCCTATTTTTCTGAAAACAAACAATAAAGATGTTTTAATACAATTTATAGTACCGTGTCTATTTTTCTCCTTCTTTTACAAATGTAAAATTAATTGTCCTTAAATTTTCTAATAGTTTCTGCTGTTTATCTGATTAAACCAGTTCTGGGCTCCTATTTCGTCTAGTCTGGAGAGCTGACATTTTGCTGGAAGATTTGCAGTCCCCGTTGTAATTGGCAGAGTACACCATAGAGTGTCATTGAAGCATTGCACAAGGTCATACTGTAGCTGGCAGTGAATGTCTATGATGTTTTCCACCATGGGACTCCAATAAAATGGCTACTCCATGAAAAGGCAAACATCCATTAAATTAATATTTATTTGGCAAAGAGAGAAAAAGAACAACTAATGCCATCAAATTAGAAGAATGTGTATTCCTTACCTTTTCAAACAGTAACAGTAAATTAAAATTCCAAAAAATACTGCCAGAGAAACGATGACAGGAGCAATGGCCCAAGCAGGAAAACGTACGTCAGTCTGATCGCCAACTGTTGTGTTTCCTATTGGACCCACCAGCTTCATCTCTGGTTGGATCGTCTCATCTGAAACCATGAGGAATACAAGTGAAAAGGCCTGGTGTCTACGGTTTACTACTCTGAAAAAAACATTGATTTTCTACTACCGGGCCCATCAACTTCTAATTGTTGGAGATTTAGATAAAGAGGTTTTTATGTCCTAGATTCACAGTACAAACACAGTTTTAAGCTAAACTAAATACATTTAACTTGAACATAATAGTCTCAATTTTATACTTTTTGATAAGCATATTTAAATGATTTATCTACAGATGTCTATATTGGAGTCTATGGGCATTTTTGTAGCTAAATTGTTTGAAAAGTGTAAAAAAGCAAAAATCCTGGCAAATGCCAACAAAACATGGTGACATACCAACTAGTACTGATTGGATTATCTTCCATTTGCCATATTCCATGGCATAATTCACAGAAACCTGGTCTGTTGTGTTCATGTAAACACACGAATCACGGAAAGTGAAGTTGAAATGTGAATAGTTTTTTCTGCAGCGCTGAAGTGTTTTTGCCAGGGTACAGATTTCCTCCAGTTTCGAATTCCGTATCACCATGGTCGCATCTGTCAGATTCACCAGCTTGCTACAAAACTGATATATCAGAGACGTCCCCTTTGAGTTTGGCATCTGAGTGTCTGCAAACAAATATACAAATAATATATAGCTATAATGGCACAAGTGAGTAAAACATTTTTGAGACCTGAGCGGGGACTAATTGAAGGGCAAACTACTCAGAGTTTCTCTAAGTTTTTTCCCATTTTTGAGAGTGTAAATATTCTTTGTTTTTGTTAAAAAGACAAATCTCATTCCTGGTTTAATGTAAAGTCAGTAATTTAGTTCACTGTGCGAACATAGGAAGCTGTTCACGCATTTATTTTCTTACATTGGTCATTTTTCCAATACATCCTTTGTCATGATACTTTTTTTTTGTAGTTCATTAAGAAGTGATAACTATCACTATTGTTTGTCCAACCTGCGGCCCCGCGGATGTTGCTGAACTACAACTCCCATGATTCTTTTGTTGAAACAGATAGCCAGGGAAACAGGGGAGTTGTAGTTCAGCAACATCTGGGGGGTCGCAGGTTGGACAACCCTGCTGTAGCTAATGACCGTCTGAATGGAATTATCTGCACAGAACTGAACCAGAGGAGTAATTAGAAGGTATTGTCTTTGAGACAGACTAAATATTGAACAGAAACTTCCAAATACTTTCTACTTCTCAAAAACCAATACAAAGTACGAATTTACTTTATAATTTTCCATCTAGCCCTCCATCCTGCAATTAGTAACTACTGCAGCTAATTTTAGGAAATGAAGACACATTGCTGACAAATAAGAGCCATTTGCCTATCTAGTCTGCCTCTAAAAAGACCATAAGTATTCATATATTTTTTGGAATACCTGAACACGTTAACATCATTTATGTAAACATTTTATTTGTTCACGCCCTACTGCTTCTAAGAAAAATTATATTAACTATTCAATGCGGATATCTCAAGCCGAATCAGAAACAATGTATGATAAAGGAAATTTTCCCCAAAACGCTTTTTTTCTTTTAGTTTTGCTCAATCTTTAGCTACCAAAGATGTATCCCATGTGTCAATTGTCACGCTATTTTTAAAACTGAAATAAGCCTCGTCACGGGTTCTTGGAGGGGCCTGCTAGCCAGCCTCTTGCCTCAGGACTACGAGCCCTGCATTATACCTTACCCAATGCACTTTAAAAGGCTCTGTTCATGTGAGTTATGTACTTTTGTACTCCAGATAGAGAGACAGACTGTTAGCCCTGATTCCCTGGAACTGTTTTGGGCATAGGACCATGCCTGCGGTCAGTCAAAAATATGACTTCCATTGAAATCCCGAACCCCTGAACCGATCTGGGTAATTTTTGGATACGTTGGTCACCCAGATCGAGGCTATCAGGAGATGTAACATTTGCGAGTTTACCATGGGTTTTGGGGGTATTTTTGGAGTGTTGTTAAAAGTTGTGTTTTGTGTGCAAGATAATTGCGTTAGTTCAGTTCCTGACTCAATTTTCTCCCAAAGGATGTATATAGAGGAGGGATTGTCTTGTTTTGTATGGGAGTGTCCTGGAGAGCCAATGCAATTGTGTGTATGTTTTTACTGTAGTCTACTCTCAGATCCAGGGGGTAGTGCCCCTTGCATGGGGACTGTTACAAAATGCCAGTTGTGGCTGCCATTAAAGAGATTCATTTTACCCTTCATGAAGTCTAGGCTCATGTTTGGGGGATTGGAGAGCTATATTCACACTCTGGGGATTGCTATAATCACTATACTCCCTTGGATCACAGCAATTGCTCTTGTAAGAGCAGCCTGTTTCCCTCTCTGAACCAGGAGAGGTCTACCTACTGGATCCTGGTCTTGGGTCCAGGGTGGGTGGAGGACAGTGAGACGCCAACCAAGCTGTAATGCTGGAAGTGGGGACTACAGTGCTGATGTGTCTGGTGGAGTGCTTGGAGTACTCGGTGAGCACTAGGAAGCATCGATTGGCGGAGGCACCCAGACGGGGTGCCAGGTGGTCCGCCACAATAAGGATCCGAAAATCTGTTGAGATCATATTCTATTTATTTATTTGTATTTTAAAGAGACGCAAGCTTTGATTACATTTTCAGTAGGTTTTTCTTAACACTTTCCCCACTGTAATATATTTCTGTGTAAACACTCATTAACTTGTTAACTAAGTGTTAATTCTCTCACCCTCAGATCTTCATTATCTTTCTGTTCACGTGCCATTATATCAGACAGAGAGTAGGAAAGCCTGCATTAGTGAGTGTGACAATCTGTTAGTGCCACTAACACAAACACACTTACCATTAGCAGTGACACTGGGAAAAACTCTGCACAGGCACAACGCTAACACCAGCCAGATCACATGACCTGCCGGAGACAATAAAACAGCTTGTGACATTCTACCAGCAATACGGATACATTATTAGAGACATATGGAACAGTTAGTACAAGCAGAGCATCATTTCAAAAGTGAAATGCTCCAAATATATTCAGCCAGTGGAGAATAAAAATGGCCTTTATTAAAAACCGAAAACTAAAGAATAAAATCAAAATCTAGATGAATTTGGTTTGATGGATGCCATTTTGTGTAGTAGCTGCCATTTTGTATAGCCCTCAAGGTGATGCTTTATTTATTTATTTTCACTTTTGTTTATAGTGATCAGCGGTACACTTATTTCATGCAATAGAATCGTTTTCTCTATTAGAATCATCTCTTACAATCTAACCTGCAATGTTGTCTACAAGATACAGCGGGGAATCATCTAGTGCCAGACTATGCTATGTATTATCTATATCAGTCTGAGTGCCGATGCTACCAATTCCACCATTGGATTGGAAACAATTGCCTTTTTGTGTGAGAACTCCTGGTAGTTGAAGATTATTGTGTTTTGTTTTAGACCCATAAACACACAAATTGACTCCCACACTTATCAGTAGGTACTAGCACTCAGAGTGTCAGAGAAAAGATCGCTACTCCTTAAGGTGAGCATTGAGTGGACTGTGGATGAATATTTGTATTTCAACTCCTTAAACTCAATTACATATTGTTTTACATATTGTTTTTTTTTTTTCAACCTAAACCTATTCACAATGCCCATCTTTTTATTTATCCTAAAGAAATAAGTAACAAGATACAAAGATCTTGAGATATTATCATCTTATCATGAGGTCCATCTTATTTTTTCTTACAAATAAAACAGAAGCAGTTGTGAAATAACCTACCTTTGTGTATGGCTGGCAGTGTGGGTGACTTGCTTTGGGATGTAGGAAATATTTCACAATCTGTATTCTGTCTTTTCTTCTTTTTTCTCCTTTTCTCCCTCCTTGGAGCAATTTCTTGCCAGATTTCATGTTTTACAGAGTTGTGACTTGGTTTGCATGTAGATCCTTCGAGCAAGCTTTTGACTTCTTTCTGAGAGCTCTCTGTGATCTTCTCCATATATTTGGTTTCCTCTGTTTGCCATTCCCTCCTCTCACGTTCAGTCTCTACATCTTTCGGTCCTTGTTTCAAACTCCTTCCTTCTTCAAATTTGCTCTCATTTTCCTCTTCCACACTTTCAAATTGCCCTGGCAAACTGTTTGTGCTACTCTGCATGCTCTTAGGTTTACTCAACATGCAATTTGTTGTCTTATCCATTATTTTGGCTACTTCACCCAAAATCTTAGTTTCTATATTGATGTTCTCAGATTCATACCCCACATCACTTGCTCCTCGGTGCATACACTCTAGTTTCCCCTCTACACTCAAAGCCACCCCATGCAAACTTTCAGTGTCTCTATGCATGCTCTTTGGTCCACCCAAAATTCTGTCATTATAATCAAATGTACTTTTGATTTCATGTTCCTCATCCATGTCCTCAGCTACCCAATGTACACATTTGAGGTCTCCCTGAATGCATTTTATTCCACCCACAATCCTTCTAGCTTTATCCTCTATATTTTTGGCTTCCACCGCCAAGGTTTTGATTTTATCAACCATGCTCTCATCTACCCCATACAAACTTTCAGTATCTGTTAGCATGATCTTTGGTTCACCCAACATTCTGTCAACTGTCTCCTTTATATTTTTGGCATCTTCTGCAAACATTTTGATTTTATCAACCATGTTAACAGTCACCCCAAACACACGTTCAGTGTTTCTGTTAATGTGTTTTGGTCCTACCAACATTCCACCAACCTTCACCTCCTTGTTCTTGGTTTCTTCTACCAATGTCCCAGATTCCCAAAGTATATTGACAGATTTATTCTTCAAACCATTGCTTCCACCCTGAAATCTCTCCCTCTCTCCACTCATCTCCACACTCTCATCTTTCCTTTCCACACTCTCAGTGACTACCTGACAACACTCACAGTCTTTTGGTAATTTCTTTGGTCCATCCAACATGCAGTCCCCCTTCTCATACTTGCTCTTATTTTCCCCTCCAAAGGCCTCCGTTCTCTCTTTCGTGTTCTTAGCTATCCTCTGAAAACATTCAATGTCTCTGCGCAAACTCTTTGGTCCACCCAACATTCTGTCAACTTTCCCCTTCATATTTTTTGTCAAAGTCTTGCTTTTCTCAACAATGTTCCCAGTTACCCTAAACAAACTTCCAGTGTCTCCTTGAATGCTCTTTGGTTCACCCAATATTCTGTTGACTTTTTTCTCCATCTTGCTGACTTTCTCTGCCATGGTATTGGTTTTCTTATCCAAGCTCTCATCTACCCAATACAAACATTCAGTATCTATATGCATGCTCTTTGGTTCACCCAACATTCTGTCAACTACCTCCTTCATATTTTTGCCATATTTTGCCAAGATTTTGATTTTCTCAACATTGCTTTCAGTCACCACATGCAAACGTTCAGTGTTTTCATCAATGTACTTTGGCCCACCCAACATTCCATCAACCTTCACCTCCTTGTTTTTTGCTTCTTCTCTTAAGATCTCAGATTCCCAAAGTATGTTGTCACATTCAGTCTTCAAACATTTGGTTCCTCCCTGAAATCTATCCCCCTCTTCACACATACTCTCATCTTTCCTTTCCACATTCTCAATGACTACCTGACAACATTCAAAGTCTTTTGGCACTTTCTTTGGTCCACCCAATATACAATCTACATTCTCATACATGTTCTTGGTTTCCCCTCCCAAGGCCTCAGTTCTCTCTTTCATGTTCTTAGCTACTCCCTGAAAACATTCAGTGTCTCTGTCCATGCTCTTTGGTCCACCCAACATTCTGTCAACTTTCCCCTCCATATTTTTCACTTCCTTTGATAAGGTTTTGCTTTTCTCAACAATGTTTCCAGTTATTCTAAAAAAACTTTCAGTGTCTCCTGGAATGCTATTTGGTTCACCCAATATTCTGTTGACTTCTTCCTCCATCTTGCTGACATTCTCTGCCAAGTTATTGGTTTTCTTATGCAAGCTCTCATCTACCCCATACAAGCTTTTAGTTAGAATGATCTTTTGTTCACCCAACATTCTGTCCACTGCCTCCTTCATATTTTTGGCATCTTCTGCGAAGATTTTTATGTTATCAAGCATGTTCACAGTCTCCCCATGTAAACTTTCAGTGTTTCTGTCAATGTGTTTTGGTCCACCCAACATTCCATCAACCTCCACCTCCTGGTTTTTGGTTTCTTCTACCAAGGTCCCAGATTCCCAAAGTATATTGACAGATTCAGTCTTCAAACATTTGGTTCCTCCCTGAAATCTATCCCCCTCTCCAAACATACTCTCATCTTTCCTTTCCACATTCTCAGTGACTACCTGACAATACTCACAGTCTTTTGGCACTTTCTTTGGTCCGCCCAACATTCCACCAACCTTCACCTCCTTGTTTTTGGTTTCTTCTACCAAGGTCCCAGATTCCCAAAGTATATTGACAGATTCAGTCTTCAAACATTTGGTCCCTCCCTGTAATCTATCCCCCTCTCCACACATAATCTCATCTTTCCTTTCCACATTCTCAGTGACTACATGACAATACTCACAGTCTTTTGGCACTTTCTTTGGTCCACCCAACATGGACTCCCCCTTCTCATAAATGCTCTTTGTTTCCTCTCCCATGCCCTTAGTTCTCTCTTCCATGTTCTTCGCTACCCCCTGAAAACATTCAATATCTCTCAACATGCTATTTGGTCCACTCAACATCCTGTCAACCTCCTCCTCCATATTTTTGTCTTCCTTTGTCAAGGTCTTGCTTTCTTCAACCATGTTCTGAAAACTCTCCCTTTTTCCATATCTACTTTCATCTTTCCTTTCCACACTCTGCAAACATTCACAATCTCCCCACACTCTCTTTGCTCCATCCAGTGTGCAGTCCCCAATCTCATGCATGCTCTTGGTTTCCCCTCCCAAGACCTCAGTTCTCTCTTCCATGTTCTTAGCTACCTGCTGCAAACATTCAGTATCTCTGTGTATGCGCTTTGGTCCACCCAACATTTTATCTACTTCCTCTTGTATGGTCTTGCTTTTTGGATTCATACACCTAACAGTGGCTCCTTCATCGTGGCCATTAATGCCAGGCAAACTCTCAGAGTCTCCGTGCATGCTCTTTGATTCCTCCAACATGCTCTCTTTTGCACCTCCCATGTTTCTGACTGGCTCTGCCAAGGTCGCTGTTGTCCTCTTCATATTCTCAGATTTAGCTTCCAATGTATTAGTTCCTCCCTGGTAATTCTTGCCTTCCCACTGTGAGATTTCTATGTTCTGTCCCAGCTGCATGCTTCCAGGTTCATCCAGCATGGTGGGGTCTGTATCTCCATCCATGTTCTTGTCTTCGCTCTTCAAGCCTTTATCTTTTCACTGCATTTCTGTGACTTTATCCTCCACACATTTTTCACTTCTAGTTCACACCGTGCGTATCTCTACTTTCTACAACCTGCAAGTTATCCGCAATCTTAGGGCAAAATGTCTGAATACTCCTGAATGATCTCAATGATCTCTCCCAAGCTTAATCTGCCTCCTTCAAATTATGCAATCAACCTCCAGTGTGGTCTCCTTTCTTGTGATTGATGGAGATTAAATTTTAGTGAGAAAGTCTTTGTATCAGACGCTACTCCCAACGGGCTCTCTAAGGGAGATAAACACAGGCACTAAATTAATAAGAAATACACGTGGACACTGGGAGACCTAACCATACTGATACTGAACACAATTTTTTTTATAAAATCTTCAAAATGTAACCCTCGCTTATGTGCCCGGTACAAAGCCATTCAAACTGAAATCAGATAATTTTTCACTTTAAAGCCATATCTGGGCCTTATGGAAAGTAATCAAATGGAAATACTGCATCCAGGAATTACAAGGAAATCAGAGCTAAACACCGCTCAGGCTGTGCAGTTTACAGACACAATAGCAGTAGATTGCAAGCTCTGAAAGCGAGATTTTCAATCTGCATTAATAACTACCCCATAAAGTATAACGTGAAATCTTCATGAACTTTAATTTATCCTTTTCAACTCAGGAATGCAGTTCCACCCCAGTTTGCTTATTTATAAGATTGTTAATATAAACTAAAATAGTTTTCGGCATTCTATATCAAATAGATGGTTACTTAGCAGATAAAGTAGTAATAACTAATTTACATTGTATAAAATACAGCATGCAATTCTATTTCGCCTCTAAGCAAACAATCTCCACATTTTTTTTAAATAATTTACTGGATACAGTTTTTTTGTCTTAGAGATAAAAGATAAATAAATGGAAAAACACACCAAGACAATAAAAGTATGCGAGGGAAGAAGTGCAGTTATTCTGTTATGCTAATATTGGGACATTGCTCACCATGCGCACATCACTTCCTTTGAAGTCATTTGTTTGGTTTTGTAACAGGCAGGCTCTGTTATAATGTGTGATGTATTTGAATTTTAATGGGACTGGGAAAGGTATTCGCACCGTGTTTAGGATTACCATCAATCTCTAGCCCATCACACAAAAAGTGGTCGAAGTTCCCTAAGACACACAGTGAGACGTCCGAGCAACAGACACGCAAACTCCCATCTATACACACAGATTAGTACTTACAGGCACACAAAGAAACACACTCCCTGGCACACAGCGCCACAGAGTCAGCTCCATAACTTCCCACCAATCCCCCCACACCCAGCAATGCCCCCACACCCAGCAATCCTCCCACACCCAGCAATCCTCCCACACCCAGCAATCCCCCCACACCCAGCAATCCCCCCACACCCAGCAATCCCCACACCCAGCAACCCCCACACCCAGCAACCCCCCACACCCAGCAACCACACCCCCCCCACACCCAGCAATCCTCCCACACCCAGCAATCCCCCCACACCCAGCAACCTCCCACACCCAGCAATCCTCCCACACCCAGCAATCCCCCCACACCCAGCAATCCCCCACACCCAGCAACTCCCCACACCCAGCAATCCTCCCACACTCAGCAATCCCCACACCCCCCACACCCAGCAATCCCCCACACCCAGCAATCCTCCCAACACCCAGCAATCCCCCCACACCCAGCAATCCTCCCCACACCCAGCAATCCTCCCACACCCAGCAATCCTCCCACACCCAGCAATCCCCCCCACACCCAGCAATCCTCCCACACCCCCAATCCTCCCTCCGTCTCCTTCACCAAACCAGCAATGCCCCCCAACACCCAGCAATCCCCCCACACCCAGCAAAGTAAAGTTAATGTATGTTAGAAACAATCATTATATAAAGTACAGAAATGTAGAATATTTGTGACAGAGACGTCCATCCTCTCCATGGTTGCCGATGAGGCTTCACTCCCATGTCATCTAATGCCAATAAACAAACACAACATGCTCGTGGGTAAGCTAGAGAGACGATGGACCCGTTGTTATTTAGCGATCTGGTTTAAATGGTTCTGACTTTCTAGATGGTGTGGTTGAACCTGAGTTCAATGAATTTGTTGCCCAGGTTGCACGTGCCTTCCCCCCCCTCGCCATGTTCCTGTTTTGCTAGTTTCCCGCAGGGCGTTGTCCCGTTGCTTAGACAGTTGTCCTTTAGATGTTAAAATGATTGCTGGTAGCACTGAATGACTCAACTACCGATAGAAGTTTGTTTATCTAATTAAACTTGAGAAATAAATCAATCCATTGTAAAGTTAATGAAGTGTAATTATTTACTTTGTTCTCCCTGGAGGTGAGAGTTATTTTTGTGCTGATTCCGTTGGCACATGCCCAGCGCGCTCCTTACCAGTGGAATGAGGACACTTCATTGATTGGTTTTTGTATAATTTTATATGTATGTTATCACGTATGTAGTATAGCGTGAAGGCCTATAAATAGTCCATACATTATATTCTTTGTTTCTCTCCAAAGTACTATGTTTGTATGCTGCCCAGCCCCTCCAGCATTTTTATTTATTTATTTGGGGAGGTGGGGTCTGTTTTTTTTATTACAATAACTTTCTATGGAGCCAGAAGAAAGCAATGAAATTAAACCACAGTAGTTACGGAGCTCTGATTGGCCCAGTTCCTGAGCTTTGACATAAACTCTCACTAGTCTTTAAGGGGTTAAAACTCTATAGGACAGAAAAAATGACTTCAATCCAACGTGTTGCACAGGAAACCTTCATAAACGCTGCTTTGCCTGAGTCTGGGCTAACTTGCTCAATACACGGGTTAAAGTCCTGTGTCGATGTGGCCAGTGCACCTGTTACTACATTAACCCTGGCAGTGCTGCAGGACTAACCGGAGTGAGCCTTCCCCCAAATCAACGTTTTTTTAAACTTTATTTAAATAAAGTGTTGTGTACAGACAGGACACAGAGCCCCAAGAAGTTAATTTATAAATAAAGTACATGAAAAAAAAATTGAAAGATGGAAAATAAGAAAAGGAAGTTAGTAAAAGGATTTAAAGGAAACATTTTCTATGCCTCAGCCCGTCCACACTCTCTGGTTTATAGAAACGTACAAAATAAAGCCCTGGACTCAAACTCCCACTACTCCTGGGCGGCAGCAATGGCTGCAGTATTCATCAGCTTTATACAGAATATCAACTAAGATGTTTTTCATACGTTCCAAGACAGCATTCCCACCACGGATGAAAAAACATGACTTTAGTTGCTTCTTAACTTAACTTACATTATTCACGCTCCCTCCGTCTCCTTCACCAAACCTGCAGCTCTTTGTCAGCTACTGATCAAGGTGCCCTCCACAATAATTGTGCAATACCCAGTCCACACCCTATACAACCACGGCAGGAAGGTGGGGGCTGGACCTGAGATGTTGCACACCCCTCCTTCCCATAGCAAGGAAGTTGGGGCTGGAAATACGATGGTCACAAAAACAGAAGTTAAGAAAGGCTGAACTTGATGGACACTGTAACTATGTAACTATGTAACTATGTAACCATGTAACTATGTAACTATGTAAAGAAAGGGATCCGAGTGAATTTCAGAGTTAGTTTAAACCAGAAAAACTGGAAAACTTCTCCCAGAACAGTCATGTTTGCAGTTCGACTATTATGAACTAAATTTTAAAATTCACTTTAAATTCACAGAAATTCACATTTTGGTGAGTAACCCTTCAAGACATTTTGATGACTTTATGCTGATTTATATAAGAGAATATAATAGATATTTTACTTTACAAATTCATTGTTAGCACATTTTTTAAAGGGGCAGTGTGTACAAGGGTATCAGAGAGCTCTACAGTACTTCTTACTCTCTCTGATACCCTCGTACACACTGCACCTTACTGATAGTCCTATCAGTTTGGGCACATACACATACAATCTCACTCACTAACAGGAACACACACACACAATCTCACTCACTAACAGGAACACACACACACACACACATACACATACAATCTCACTCACTAACAGGAACACACACACACAATCTCACTCACCAACAGGAACACACACACAATCTCTCTAACTAACAGGCACATACACACACACACACACACATACACATACAATCTCATTCACTAACAGGCATATACACACACATACACATACAATCTCACTCACTAACAGGCATATACACACACATACACATACAAGCTCACTCACTAACAGGACCACACACACACAATCTCACTTCAAGGAGCCCAATACGACTATAATGAGCTGCATTATCGAGTTGCCAGAAAGAAGCCTTTATTGCACCAATGCCAAATAAAACAGCATTTTACAATATGCCCGACAACACGTTGACACGTCTCACAGCTTCTGACACACCAGAACTTGGAGTGACGAGACCAATTAGAGATTTATGGTCACAATCATAATCACTATGTTTGGAGAGGGGCCTATAGTGAAAAGAATACCATCCCCACTGTGAAGCATGGTAGTGACTCACGGATGTTTTGAGGGTTGTGAGCTCGGGGAATCTTGTGAAAATTGATGGCAAGATTAATGCTGCATGTTATCAGAAAATACTGGCAGACAATTTGCATTCTTCTGCACGAAGGCTGCCCATAGGATGCTCTTGGACTTTCCAGCATGACAACAACCCTAAGCACAAGACCAAGTTGACCCTCCAGTGGTTACAGCATGAAAAGGTGAAGGTTCTGGAGTGGCCATCACAGTCTCCTGACCTTAGTATCATCGAGCCACCCTGGGGAGATCTGAAACGTGCGGTTCATGTAAGACGAACAAAGACTTTGCATGACCTGGAGGCATTTTGCTAAGACCAATGGGCAGCTATACCATCTGCAAGAATTAGGGGCCTCATAGAGAGCTATTAGAAAAGACTGCACGCTGTCATTGATGCTAAAGTGGTCAATACACAGTATTAAGAACTAAGGGAATGCAGACTTTTAAACAGGGGTCATTTCATTTATTTCTTTGTTGTCATGTTTTGTTTTATAATTGTGCCATTCTGTTATAACCTACAGCTGAATATGAATCCCATAAGACATAAAAGAAATGTGTTTTGCCTGCTCACTCATGTTTTCTCTAAAAATGGTTCATATATCACCAATTTTCCAAGGGTATGCAAACTTTTGAGTGCAACTGTACATACACACAATCACTAGCATGGGCTGAAGCTTACCTGGCACCGGTAGGTGAAGTTGACATTATCTGGTCTCTTCCTTTCAGTGAGGCTTGTGTGTCATGGCAGGGCTTGCATGTGGGAGGTGGAGCTTTAGAACAGGAGGTGGGACTTAAGTGTCGGGGTGGGGCAGGCAACGCCGAATGGCTTACCATTGTGAAGGGAGACTGACAGGTCTCCCTTCGGCCACCAGCCGCTCAATTGCGGCCGCGCCAGCCCACAGCTCCTCCCTCTTTAATCCCCTCGGGCTGACACTAGTTGTCACAGCCCGAGGGGAAAATCATTTAAATGACATTAGCCTAATTTAGGGCTGTCTGACCGGCCCCAGGTGCTGCGGCCCACTGGGAGCTACAGTAGCTATTCTGTGTGATGGGACTTGCCAGGACAAGACTAACAAGACCTGCCGTTTTAGAGATGCTCTGACCCAGAGTCTAGCCATCACTATTTGCTTCTTGTCAAGGTCACTCAGATCTTTTCGCTTGCCCATTTTTCCTGCTCCCAACACATGGAATTCTAGAACTGGCTGTTCACTTGCTGCCTAATATATCGCATTCCCTGACAGGTGTCATTGTAGCGATATAATCCATGTTATTCACTTCACCTGTCAGTGGGTTTCATTTTGTGGTTGATCAGTGGATACATTACTAAGTACAAAGTGTTCAAAAGCATGTCTTGTTATTTAAAGAGAATACATTATATCAATATTAACTAAAATAGTAGCAAACAAGTATAAAATGACATCTATTCAATTACACTCCACATAACTTCTTAATCAAAATTAATTAAATCCATTTGTAATCTGGAGGAAACGCATCAGATGAACTGCAGTGATTTCTAACTCGTTTTTTTTTAATATCTACTAAAGTAATTCTCAGTTTCCACAGTGTATAGAATGTGATATTATAAGGCCTCGCTGTGAGCACACAGTACATGTAGGACAGACGGCAGAGATCTGAAATGGTCCCAGACATCAGCAAAGTATCAGAAGGGATGAAAGATGTGCATAGCCCGTAGGCCATATGGAAATTAAAGCATAGGCAGGAGGCTAGCATTGCTTTTTTTAGAAGCCACCACCTGCTGCCCAGTAATTTCCATTGTGGCTTCTGACATTAATAAAGATAATTAAGCAGTCACTCACCTTCATTTCTTTTATTATTATTATTATTATTATAATGGAGATTTGAAATGTTCGGTCTTACATGAACCCGTGTTACTGAATCCATGTCACGTTTTATGTAATCCTCCTCATGGTTTGTAATTCTCTAATTTCAGATAATTTAGTGCCATTAACAGACTATATAAAGTGTCGCAGCCCGTGGGTGAGTGACTGAATAAAGTCTCAGCACAATATTCAGAGAGGCCAATTATTTTTAATACCATTACAATGGGCCAACATGCAGCAAAATATCAGGCCCCATTACTCTCAGCCAGGCAGCTGTCATCCAACAAGTGGAGTCTGAATGTTGTCCAAACATCTAATCACAAGGCTAGTTACATTCACTATAAGGGGGAGGGTCCATACCCAAAAAGGGGACAAAGCAATCATTTCCTAGATCGTTGAGATCTCTCAGCCCTCAGAGTAACCTGCTGTACACTTTGGGTAATTAAACCAATTTATAATATCACTGTCAGCACGTTATTCTTGGTTTGTTTTTTCACGTTATTTCTATTTCATTTACAAACCCAAAGAAACCTCTTATTTTATATTTCTCTTGTTACCAATGATCCCAGCTCCTCTTTCTAAACATTCTGTCCAGTTATTTAATAACGTATGGTTCCTGTGATTGTTTTCATTATCAGTCCTGTGTTAGAGTTTGGGGTCACAGTAAAATAACTGAATTTCACTAAGAATGCTGTACTGATAAAACCCTTGGAGAACTCAGCTCCAGAGTATACCAAAATCACGCGGCAAATATAATGCCAAAATCAGTACCAGATGGTTACAATCTAAATATTAATACACCTAATACAATATATATGACTTTTTATTCCAGCCACCGATATCTGAGATCAACACATGTATAAAGGCTATGCCCAGTCTTATCTCAAAATTGAAACAGCTGAAATTGAAGAGAGGTACTACGGTTCTTATAACAATGGATGTACGCAGTCTTTATACGGTGATCCCACATGCACAAGATGTGGAGGCAATGAGATCCGTTCTTACCTCCTCGAGTTCTTATGAGGGACCACCTATTGAGTTCGTTTTGGAGCTACTTTCTTTTGTTTTAAGTAACAATTACTTTAGATTTGAAGATAAATGGTACAGTCAAGTTTCAGGCACGTCTATGGGGGCCGCTATGGCCCCCATGTATGCCAACGCATACATGTATATATATGAGCAAAGATGGATCCTATCAAAATACAGTCAATACATCCAAGGCTACTTCAGGTATATTGATAATATGCTTAAACTCTGGGGTGGCAGTACAACAGAGGCTATGGAGATGGTACAGTTTTTAAACCAAGTGGAGAGTCCAATAAGATTTACATGTTTCTTTAAATGAACAGAGGCTTACATATTGTCTCTACAAGAAAGAAACAGATCGTAACACCATTCTGCATAATACAAGCACACACCCAGAGGCTTTGAAAAAGCCCAGTTTCTTAGAGTAATCCGAAACAATTTGGATATAAACAAGATGGATGAGCAATTAGAAGAAATGGTGGATAAATTTCTCGAGCGTGGCTATCAGTATAAAGACTTAGTCAGAGCATTAGAGGAGGCAAAGTCTGCCGACGTGACTAAATTGGATGAGAAGGCCCCGAGATTGGTTTTCCCCACTACTTTTCACGATGCATCCCCAGCAATCTCTAAAATTGTTATGGACAATTGTAAAATGATAGCGTATGATGATACGCTTTCAAAAGTTTTTAAAGAACCACCTCTCATCTGTTATCGGAGAAACAAGAATCTGAGGGATTTACTTGTTCACACGGACCTGGTTAAAAGCTATGAAAAGAGGGTTGAAGTACAGAGTCGGGGAGTATACGATGTTTGGGTTGTGTCACATGTACCCATATGACCCCCTCGCGCACCTTCCATCACCCACATAAAAACAGGAGCTTCCAGATACGTTATACCATCACTTGCAAGACTCCATATGTGGTCTATAAGCATTCCTGCCCTTGTGGGTTTGTGTATATTGGCAAAACTGAGACTCCTTTGTGTGAAAGGATTAGGGGCCATAGATCGAGCATACGGGTAGTTTATCGGGACGGTACCTCCGATCAACCAGTCGCTAAGCATGTTCTGGCTTTTCAACATCCATTGTCAACACTTAAGTTCGTGGCTATTGATCATATACCTCCATTAAAATTTTGACCATTTTGGATCTACAACTTGGACACTATAGTCCCTAAAGGACTTAATGAGATGATCTATCACTCATTTATATGAGTCCCCTGTAGTTGATGTTTTTAATAAATTTTTTAGATTTAGACTTTATTGTCATTAATTTGTTATATTTTCTTTTTTTATGATCATTGAATTTATGTCCATACTCCATATTGGTTTTCCATTTCCAAGGTTGCCTACCTTTTTGTGTGGATGTACTGCCCCTACCACACCTTTTCCATGTTTTGTTAACAAACACACAGTATTTTATTTATGCACTGATAATAGTTTTATCTATAGATCTACTTGCCCGATACAACAGGCTCTTTATGTACTCCACAATATTTCTGGCACATATTTTGCATAAATCACTATTTAAGAATTGTATATGCCTTTTAACACTTTTTGCACTTTCTAGCACTAACGGCACTTCATACCACCTTTGTTAACATTATGTACCTTTCATAGTCTATTTTTCTATAGTAGTAGATATAGATAATGGAACCAGCGCTTGTACAAAAAAGAAAATATTAAATACAAATATATCTTATAATAGTGGATAGCTGCTAAACATTCAGAGATTCCTATTCAACTTAAAACAAAACAAATTAAGTGGGTACTCACAAGTGTGGAGTCAAGATATATTGACTCAATTTCGTAGCGTTGTGCAGATTCGGGACTGCACTCCCCGTTCAATAAAACGATATCGGGAACCAGGATCGTTAAAAGTAATAAAAGATTTTATTAATACACTCATATATATAAATAAAAAAGCCTCAATGTGCTAAAAAATACCGGGACGCATTTCGCCACTACAAACGTGGCTTCTTCAAACCGGATTGAGATAAAGCACTTGTGAATACCCACTTAAAGACCATATATATATTCTTAGAGATATTACAAACTATACTGCGCAATTGGGTGTATTTCTATTCATCCACAGGCCTCAGAAACATATCGTGAGGAGGGGTGGGTCACCTGTATGGACCCAGAGGCTATTCAAACTAGAACTAAGTCCATAGCTCTCCATTTGTGAGTTTATTTATTATTTACTAATAATAAATGTATAGAAGTGTGATCTATACTATGTATGATTATCTTTTATAGATATTTTTCCTGCCGATTTTTCAGTGAAACTTTGCTCCAAACTCTAAAAGATTAAACTGGGTGCTTGAAGTCTGGGGGAAATTGCACATACCAGACGAGATGACCAACACTCACGGATTCCAAAAAATGGTTAAAAAGTTATAAATTTATTGATCCATTTAAAAAGCTGCTTCAACGTTTCAGTCCACGTTTGGGACTTTCATCAGGATTAATTTCTTGACATATAAGCGCTACATTCTTAATTTGTTTTATTTCTATATAGTAGGCACATTTAATTACAATATGCACCAAATAATTACACTGGTTGCAATATTCGGATTAAAACTCATTAGGTGGTGAATATTGCCCCTTTAAGTGAAATTGGTACTTAGAGCACTATATGATCTATATTACACTCATTTCTTAACCTTATGGTTTGTAATTGGAACCGGGGTACTTCTATTGTCACTGCTCTGCATCTTTTTTATTTTATTTTCTTTGAAGCAGCTAGTGTGTAGCCGGGTTGCCATGGAGACATGGCGTGTTCTAGGGTCTCCATGAAAATGGACACCACATGGTCACGCAAAGTGGGGGTGGAGCACGTCACGCATGCGTAGAGGACACTTGGGGCCGCGGGCAGTAGCACTCATGGGACCGGGTACACCTGGGGTAAGTTAATGTACAATGATTACTGTTCCTATATATGTGTGATTTGTAGTTTTGGCTGTTGTTCCTGATGAAAGTCCCAAACGTGGACTGAAACGTTGAAGCAGCTTTTTAAATGGATCAATAAATTTATAACTTTTTAACCATTTATTGGAATCCGTGAGTGTGGGTCATCTCTTCTGGTATGTGCAATTTCCCCCAGACTTCAAGCCCTCGGTTTAATCATTTTTGAAGCCAGAGTGCAAGGATATTGTGGATTTATATAAAAATACTGCAAATCCTACTGCTGCTTTCAAAAAGAGATATCATTGTTGCTCCTTAAAGGACCACTATAGTCACCCAGACCACTTCAGTTTAATGATCTGAGTGCCAGGTGCCCCAGGTTTTAACCCTGCAGCTGTAAACATAGCAGTTTCAGAAAAACTGCTATGTATACATTGCAGGGTTAATCCAGCCTCTAGTGGCCGTCTTCCTGGCAGCCACTAGAGGCGCTTCTGCAACGCTTGATGCGAAAATCGCATTGAGCACGAAGAACGTCCATAGGAAATCATTGAGTAATGCCTTCCTATGGGCAGTTTGAATGCGCACGGGGATCTGGCCGTGCATGCAAATTCCGCTCCACTCGGGAGCTGACGCCAGAGGTCACCAGGGCCGAGGGAGCCCGGCGCTGGATTAGGATAAATAGCTGAAGAGATTTTGACACCTTTAGCCCAGCGGGAAGGGGGTCCTGAGGGTGGGGAGGTCCTAAGGACTATATAGTTCCAGGAAAACAAGTTTCTCATAGTGTTATGTTATAGAGGTCCCTTTAAGTATACAATCTATTAAATAAAAATCTAAGAAAGCGAGACAAAAAATAAAAATAAAATACCCAACATATTTCCAGTATAGGGAAGAACAAAGTCAGACCTGTTTCACAAACGTTGCAGGGTTTCAAGCGAGGTTTTGGTGGGTTCCCCACGGCGCCCCCAGTTCAGGCTGCTTGGAGTCATCCCGTTTTGGGTGCAGTGGTGGACGATTACCACCCGGCAATTGGTGAGCCAAGCAGGAGCTCACCCGATGCACGTCTTTTCAGCATGAGGCTTAGGCTCCGTCCCCCCTCATTTTTTTTAACCCCTGAGGGTCAACTTTTATTTTTTGTAAACCTCAGCGTTTAATTTAATTTTATTAAGTAATTTAAATATATTAAAATAATATATTTAGCTAGCCTTGGTGGGTGGAAATTAGTTTGGAATTGGGGAATTTGGTGTTAGGCTAGCTAGGGGTTAACGTTAAAAAAAGTTTTAAAAAAGTTTAAAAAAATGTTTTAATAACATTTAAGTAAAACAAAAAACAAAAACATCCCCCTTTACCCAGTCCAAATAAAAATTAGCCCCTTCCCTGCCAGTCGATCACTGCCTACAGTGATCAAAATACATACACAGTATTATACTGTGATCTGATTGTTTTTAACCCCTTAAGGTTAACTTTTATTTATTTTTTAACCCTTAGGTTCAATATATTTAATTAATTTAAATATTTTATAATTATATATTTTGCTAGCTGGGGTGGGTGGGAGTTATAGGTCAGTGGGGAATTTACTGTTAGTGCTGCTAACTGCTAGTTAGGGGTTAAAAAAAACTTATAAAAATGTTAAATCTGTAAAAAAAAAAGCTTTAAGAAAGTTTAGGAAAGTTTAAAAAAAATAATAAGCAAAAAAAAGTTTAAAAACTAGTTTTAAAACGTAAAAAAAGTTTAGAAAAAGTAAAAAAATACATTTTAAAATCCTCATTACCACTACACCTGGAACAAACTAGAGAAAAAATGATCCCACGCTAAGGTTCAAAATATGCCTTTTGAATTACCCCAGGGTGTATTCTTTAATAAATAGTATGTGTTTGTGGGTAAGTTTCAATAACCAACCAGCTAAACTATTCCAAAATGGAACACGGACACAGCGTAAAACATCAAAGTTAGAAAAAAACTGAATGGCTGCGTTTCAAATGTGCCACTTCAACATCCACATGTACCTGGCAAAGGTACATACGGGGGTATTGTTGTACTCAGACGACATAGCTGAGCAACATATGTAGTATTTTATAGTATTATAGTATTATTATGTCGTAGCACACATAAGGTTTGCAAAATATACTGAGCAAACTCACTTTGTATGTCAAATAGGCAGAAAAACTGCTTATGACCACTACACTTGGTACACGCTAGCGGAAAAATGATCCCACGCCAAGGTTCAAAATATACCTTTTGAAATAACCTGGGATGTCTTCTTTAATGAATGGTATGGTTTTATGGGGTATTTGGATTATATAGCCTGGTAGAATACTCTGTTTCAAATGTGCCCCTCCGATGTCCACATATAGCTGACAAAAGTACTTATGGGGCTGCTCACTGTTAAAAACCCCAAAAAACCCTAGTACCTCCGCCCCCACCCCTGAGCGGTGCGTGGGGGCCCTAAAGGAAAATGGGGGGGGGACCTATTGTCCTCCCCGTCACCCCTAAGCGGCAGGTGGGGGCCCTAAATAAAAATATTCCCCCCCCCTCCAAGATGACTAGGGATCCACAAGCCCCTAGTCACCCCCCCCCCCAAATAAAAAATAATCCCCTACCTACCCTCTCACCCTAAATATAGTGAGGGGGGAATAAAATAACTAACCACCTGTTAAAATAAATAAAACTTACGATTTGATGTCTTTTTTTTTCTAAAATCTTTATAAGCCTTTCCCCGCCCTGAGGAGCTCAGTCTGCACCGTGCCCTCATCGGGGGAAGATTGATTCATTTTTTAGCTTCAGGTTTTTTCTTTTTCATCTATTTTTTTTTTTGCGCTCGGACTTTTGATTTTATTTTAGGTTCAATGGGTATGATGGTTTTTATTTGGCCTTTTTGGGGCTGAAATATGAAGATTTTAGAAAAAAAGAAGACATAAAATTATAAGTTTTATTTTTTTTTACAGGTTGTTCGTTATTTTATTCCCCCATCACTATTTTTAGGGTGAGGGGGGTAGGTAGGGGATTATTTTTTATTTTGGTAAGGGGGTGGTTAGGGGCTTGAGGAAAATTTCTCTGACCACCGGACACGAAGCACACTTTGCTCCTTCACTGGTCAGAGATGGTCAGGCGTAGGAAACCTCCATAAGACAAATACTCCCTACTTATCTTATGTTTTAAAGACAACTAGAGCAGATAGGTAGAAATGAAGAACAGATCCCGACAAAGGGAGAGAAGAGGAATCGATTAAAGAAAGGTAAGTTCGGCATGATAGTGCCGCTTTAAGAAATGGTATGCCTTTATCATGTAGTTGTAATATGTAGCCTTCTCAAGTGGGACACGGACGCATCAAAACCCTCCGTGAAAATTCACACTTAAAAACCTGAACTTGTCACGTCTCTTTTACAGCACTGTAACTTCACAAAATAGTGTCTAGGTCATACATTGGGCATATTGTTTTACTCAGAAGGTGTAACTGAGTATAATTTGGGGATTTTTATGACAGTGGTACATATCAAGTGTAAGAAATACTCAGCAAAAATGCAACATATATGTAAAAATGCCATTTTCCCCACCCTCCCACCCCCTCACAACATTGACATAAATTGGTGAAAAAATTGTGACAAGGTAAGGCACAATATACCCCATTTAAGATACCCTGGGGTGTCTGCTTTATCAAATGAAAGCCCTTTGTGGGGTTATTTGAACAGTCAAACTGCTATAATACCCTAAAATGAGACATAGGCCAGTCAGATCCATCTACGAAAATTCTAACTATAGAAACTGAAATAGCCTTGTCTCTTATATGGCACTGTAGCTTTACAGACATACAATGGGGGTATCGTTATACTCAGCAGATGTAGACGAACACAATATGGGGTTCTGTGCAGGAATAGCACACACCAGCTTTACGAAATACACATTACAAAAACCTTGTTATATGTGTATACGCCAAAATAAAGAAAAAACACAATTTTACTCCAATATTTAGCAGAGATTGGCGATAAAATGGCTACGTAAAAAGTGTCAAACTAACCTTAGGTAAATAATATAAATATATGCTTTTCTGTGGCAATTTTGTTTTCTGTGATGGCTACTAAACCTACAAGACAAACATACCAAACTCTAAAATTGTTGCAAATTGCCATTTTATTTTAGTCCTTGTATTTTGTGACCTGTAGCTTTCAAAATAAGCTGAAATCCTACACATATGATGTACTCTATAAGTCAAGACACATAAATGAATTTAGTTTGAATTACTTTTTCACGCTATTATTGCCAAAACTGTGAAAAAGAAGTTAGTTTTTTTAAATTTTTTGGCATTTTTATATAATTAATGAGAATGTTTCTATGTATATGTGACATCAAATTAAAGCCCTGTTTGCCCTCTAAAAATGATGTATAATATGTGTTGGTGCAATAAATGACAGAGATGCAAATTGGGTTTCAATACAAACAGCACAAAAATGCAAAAATGGCCTTTGTCCTTAAGCGTAAGACAAGCTTCTGAAGCTGCGTCCTTAAGGGGTTAAATAAAATGTACTGTATTTTTATGCTTTTATTTCCTTTTGTGCTTTCTTAGATTTTGAATTAATAGATTATTTACCAAGAATAAACCCTGGATAGGGATGGCCAGGCTGGCTCTTGGCTGGCCATCTCTCAATCTGAGTATTGTTACGGACAAGTGAAAAGAACCACAAGTGGAAACACAATTGTTAACATAATGGGAAACACGTGTAGAACGTAATAGTTCTCATCTGTTATTTTCCCAGTGAACGTGAAGACACTGGGTGCATACATTAATATATGAACAGTTACAGGAGTTAGAGACTGCATTGGTAGGCCTGCTGGATTGACATCTTGGCTAGACACTCGACCTTCTACCCCACAGACAAGGCAGACACTTGGCCAGGTGCTCACTAGGCCTGTTCATAAATTCTTTTCAGCTGGTATAAGCAAATCAAATTCATTTTAATCTGCACCCAATTAAGTCGATCCATCTGGGATTTACTCATGGAGTCTTGTTTGTTGAATAAGAGTCTACAGCTAAATCCTGGACAATTGATTAATTTGGGCACAGATTCAGTTTTATTGATCTGTACCAGCTGAAAAGAATGAATGTACAAGCCTAGTGTTCACCCCTTTGACCCAACACCTGAGGAAGCCGAGTCTGAGTGACATAACTTGGGGCATTGTATGGACCTTGCGATTCTTCTTCTTAGAGAGCACAAAGTGGCCGCCTTATCCTCTCAGTACACCTAATAAGATCACTTAGGGCCATGTATGTGCTTTGTGATTCTTTGTGGAGAGACCAAAATGGACACCTAATCCTCTCAGTACACCCAATAAGCAAAGTATGAGTGAGATCACTTGGGGCCAAGTAAGTGCTTTGTGATTCTTCGTAGAAAGGCCAAAATGGACACCTAATCCTCTGAATACACCCAAGAAGCAAACACTTTATTCAGCTAGAAGAGATTTTAGCAGAGACCAAGCAGTCAGGCTCACGGATCAAAAAGGAACTTATGACCGGTCCCATCGGGTGAGGAATCAAAGTTTTATTGTAAAACACAATAGAATGTCATTACTATACATACAGAATCATTGAATTACTATTGCAGTATTAAATAACACAATATGGGGCAGAGAGACTTTGTCTGTTAGTTGCGGACGGCTATCTTTGTGGCGAAACCGCCACGTGTCCTTGGAGGGGGCTGCTTGCCCGCCTCTTGCCTTTGGACTATGGACCAGACTTTATGTGAATGTGTTAACCCAGATAGCTATGCCATGGAGCCCATTCGTGTAGTTAAAAACTTCGGCTCCATGGCAATTGAACTGTGTGAATAGGATCTGAGCGCTATTCAGTAGTTTTGTGAAATGTCTGTGTGTTATGTGTAAAAGGTGACTTTATGTATTTTAAGGTGTTTTATGTCTTTTTGCAACCATGTGCTCAATGGAGTCTGCCTCTATCCCTGGATAATTGGATTACTTTCCCCCATTGTCTCCAGGATAGAGGGCTCTGTAAAACCGGTTTGAGCCAGATAGCCATGTGCCAGCCAGGGCCCAAAAGATACTTTTACTAACTTTTGAACCCCTGGTCGGATTCATGCCATTTTTTAATATGTTTTAATATGTTGTTCCCCTGAATGGATTGATTGTGTGTAATTTTATGTGAATGTGATGTATGGTTTTAAAGTTATGAAAGTTGGGTAGAAAGTATGTTTTAACTGTATGTGTAATTGAGTTTCCTCTCAGGATAAGGGGAGGGAATATGTGGGATGTAACTGATATGTGATTGGTTGTTTTATACCTCCCTGTGGGCGGTCCTATATGTGAAAGAGTGTAATAAAAACAAGGCTGGGTGTGCCAGCACAGGAGTTCCTGTTTTAACCCTCAAAGTGAAGTGTCGTCTCATTATTGGGGGAAGGATTTATTGTATGCTGTTCCAGTTTGACTGCTAGGAGAGTAAACCTATTCGTATGGTTCCTATTCAATTGTCTACAGCATTCATATGCTTGGGAGAATTTATTTGTTTCTCCAGTTCGGTGATTGTGGTGTCTGCCAGAGTGCTTGAAGTCCTCAGGAAGCGCTAGGAGCATCCTTCAACGGAGGTACCCAGTCGGGGTGCCATGCGATCCATTACAATCCTATTACACATAACAGATATATCCAGAAGCATCCCAGAGACATGCCACATACTTCCAGATACTGCAATTCCCAGGAAATTCTGATTTGGTGAAAACCACTGAAAAATTATATTTCTTCTCAAACTAGATTTTAAAAGGTGTGAATTTCTAATTAGGTAAAATGTACACAGGGGACATCTATGTAATATTTATCCCAAATTCACTCTGAAAGTATAGATACCAGAGCCATGTCCTCACAGATCCTGTCAGGCACAAGGTGCGTCATAGTTTGATTCTAATACCTTTGGAAGAATACACAATGGGCAGTATTACTGCTGGTGCAGCGCATCGGGTGGCCCATGCAGTTCGGGTCACCCAATGGGTATTTCTGAAAAGGGACAAGTGGTAGATCGACAGTTGACATAGCATCGTGGGGGTTGTACGACAGATGGAGATCTACCTTTTGCCCACCCTTTCGACCTCTCCTTCAAGCCTCATGTTCAATCTATCCTGTCATTTTCATCTCAAAAACATTGCGCGCATCCACCCCTACTTAACACCAGATGCGACTAAGGTGTTGGTCCATTCCACTGTCTTTTCTGGCCTTGACTACTGTAATCCGCTTCTCAGTGGTCTTATGTGCTCCCAACTTGCGCCGTTACAGTCCATAATAAATGCGACAGCAAGGCTTAGCTTCCTGTCCTCCCGCACCTCCCATGCCTCACCCTTCTGTCAGTCCCTACATTGGCCTCCTATAAAATACAGAGCTCAATTTAAGATTCTGGTTCTTGCTTTCAAATCTCTACATAATGCTGCTCCCACCTATCTATCCTCACTAATACACTAATGTTCCATCTAGGCCCTTACGCTCTGTTGAAGATTTACGTCTATCTTCTGTCCATACTCCCACCTCTGATGCTAGCCTTCAAGACTTCTCCAGGGATGCACCATTCCAGTGGCACTTGCTTCCCTCCTCTGTTAGATGCTCACCCAGTCTCCACTCCTTCAAAAAAATCGTTAAAAACCCACTTATTCATAAAGCGTATCAATTAAACTGTTAATAGCTCCTAACTGATTCCTCTTCTGCAACTGTCGTTAGTCTAATACTATTCTTACCTTTTTTGTGTCATTTTTCCCCACTCCCTCTAGCATGTACACTCACTGAGCAGGGCCCTCAACCCCTCTGATCCTGTGTGTCTACATGTCTGTCCGTCCACCCATTGTAAAGCGCTGCGGAATTTGAGGCGCTATATAAATATCATAATAATAATAAATAATAATAATAATAATAATAATAGTGGGGGGTCCAAAAACATTTACTTTAAAATCACTGGACACTATTAAAAATTTATTTTGTTTTGTTGTTACTAACACTTCACAGACAAGCACGTTTTGATTGAAAACATATTAGCATAACATTTATTTGAAGCAAGGGACACATACCTAGGCTACAAAAATAGCACAGCAATTTAGTGTATAGATTGCTTTGCAGACAAACAAACATTAAAATGTCAATTTACACAAATGTTATGTTTCACTTATTCATTCATCCTTTATAAAAAATATTCGGGACATGAAAAGCTATAGACAGTATACAATGTCTGTTATCGTACAAAACATCATACAGGGTCAGAAAGTTGGTATGAAAGCAGAAACGCAAATTCTCACATACAGTAAATGCGACAAAGATTGTTAAACGCCTTGTTATTGGTATTTGTAAGGACCAAAATGCATTACTAGCTATACAGCTTACGGGCAATGGAAACAGATTTTAAAAAGAATGTCTGCATGTATTCCATTTTTGAAATACCTTCTAAAAAAAGTTATTCAAAACTGTAGCTATTTTTATCAATAACTGGATTGTTAATGTAATGCTGACAGTGAAATGAGCCTTCCAGTTCTCACTGCAAGAATGGTATGACCCATTGAAACTTTCTGTACTGCTTCAGCAGGGGTGTTTTTTCAGCAACTTTACATTCATTATATCAGTAACTAGTGGCTTCGGGCAGAGAAATTCATTCCTTTGCAGGCTGGTAATTATTCTTAGTGTATAAAGAAGGTCAAGTAAGGATTTATGGACTGAATTGTATACTGTAAAAATACATTAAAATAAAAATGTTCATCCTCTATTTTGGCAGTGAAGTAGTTAATGGAGCTCGTGTCTTGTATAGCAAAACGTGAATTAAAGACAATTTAAGCATAAAATAATTGTCTAATGTCTTAATTATTTCAATTTATTAAAACTGCAACAATGTATAATAATAATAATAATAATAATAATAATGTTTTAAAACAATGTTAAGGCATGTTAATAAAATAAAAAAAACAGAATGTGGAAAAAAAATGTTTTACCCCAATTTCCAATAATATAAAAAGGTATAAAATGGATGCAAAGTTGTTCAGATTCCAGTTTGGCACCTATCACGTGACCTGTCCAGAACGATTTGTTCTAGAGGTAAGTGGGAATTTCATAGATTACACCCACTAAGGATTACACCCACATTCTAATGACCCCATGAATTGTATCAAATTCAAACTATCTCCCTCCCCTAAAAAAATGTAATGCCATTAAAAAGTACAAAGTACAATCTTAGTTAAAGGAACGCTCCAAGCCGCTAAACCCATGACCTGATATAGTGTCTGGAACTCAATCTGCTGCCCTTTGTCAACAATATGTCTCTAAAATCACATAGACAGATCATTTAAACCGTATTCATTACGGTTACCTGTGGTGTCTTATGTTTATGATGACAACTGATTAGTAACATTTATGCCAAAGTAGCCAAAATTAGAAATAAAATCTACAAAATTTGCTTCCAATTTGACTACTAGGTGTCAACTAAAAAACAAACAGGAAAAAGGCATAGCATTAAGGAATCTATCAGATATAGTAACTATGATCAGTGAATTAATGCTGTGCCACCATAATAACTGCCTTGTATGGAAGCATCCTCCACCAGGCAATCAGAAAAGTTGTAAAAGTAAAAAGAATAAAGAATCAGTGAGAGATAAAAACTGTAATTAATCATGCGAGCCCAGCGTTTCACTCTGTATTCTATACAGAGTCACAGTCTATTCCACCGATACCATTCTGGCCAGTGTTATTGGTAAGGCGTTCATCGGAGACTGGTGACTGGGCTTCTCCTTCCACAGAATGTTGCCCGTTCAGATCATCTGATCTGGTAACTTGATTGTACTGCACCCTTAAAAGTAAAAAAAAGAAGGAGTTAATATCCGCCTCTGCTCCATGTTCTTTTACCAGTGCAATAACTGGACAATATATAGTCAAAGTGACAATTTATGACCCCAATATCCTCAAATATGTTCATTTTCAACAAAGGTGAAGAAGTAGGTTTGTACTGTATAAACTTTAATATTATTAAAATTATAACAATTGCAATAATTGGTGCATATCCTTCAACGCCTTCATTATAAAAACGAAATACGATTTAAACCTGAGCTTATTGGGAATGCCTTTCGTTCAGTAAGGATCGAGAAGACATCTGAAGGCAAAAGAGGTGGTATATTCAACAAAGAATGGCAGTATGGGACAATACAGGGAAGAGAAAGGAATGGGAGTGCTCAAAATATAACTTTGTATAAGAGTTAGAAGTGGGATACATGGCGGAGGCTCTCACCTAGGTATTAATACATATTAAGAATGAATATAAATGCTACATCCGAAAGGCCCACTAATCAGTTACTAAACATGCCTCTCGGACAACCTTGTCAAGTCAAAAAGGGATTGGGGAGGACGGATCTACTGACCGTAGATAAATACAGAACAAGAAGTGGATTGGCTAGAAATGGGTCTCTCTAAATCAATGGAACTTTAATAGGAAGCCTTTGGTGATGGCAAGGGATGTAGAGAGGTCATGTACAGGATTGGATAAGCGAGGTACGGAGCCCTAGTTTTTGAAAAGTATGGAAGGATTTGAGGGGAAACCTTTAAAATGGTGAAGGACCCAGAGAGTCAATGAGCAGAGAGGTCAGTGATAGTAGTGGGGTTTGTTAGAGGGTGAGGGATAGTGGTGATTTTTAGGTCACTAGAGAAACGGGGAGGGTGTAGGATGCAGATTCAGACTTACCGAACATGTGTGTTTTGCTGAGAATTCCTAACTTTCCTATGGAGGTAGAAAAAATAGATTGCTGGAGGCAGGATCAGTGCAACGAGTATAATAACTAAACGGGTTGCCAATTGAGGAAGGGAATGGCGGCTGGACTCCGTCTGATTTCTGGAGTCTGTTCGGTTGCTGAGAGCCAAAACAGTCATCTTATTGGTCCCCGGTATCTCGGATGCATTCTCATTAAGTTGATCTGTTACAATATACAAAGTTTGTTAGAATTGGTTAGAGAGAAATCGCTCAGTTTAAACAGGCACAGACCCTATTTAGCTATCCCAGAGATTTTCAGAGGAAGAATATAATTACTGTAGTAAACAACTGATTAGTAACTTAACCCAGGCTTTTATACAATGAATCATCATGGGCTAAGCTATAAAATGAGAACGTGATAGCCAAAGAAGGCAAAACTAACCCCATAAACTTACATCAATTCTTGAAGAAAAAAAAAAAAAAAAACACATGTAAGTGTAGATACACATGGAAAACATTATTTAATGAAGACAAGGTAAAGGCACAGCATTTTCATCAGCAAAAAATAAGGAGGATCCAATGGCAAAACGTATGCAAATCATTGCTGCAAAAATGCTTGCAGAAATTTTGGAATTGGATGACTCAAGACAAGGTGCTACAGCAGCAAGAAAGTTAATATAAACAAAGCTCCGGGGCCGGACTGTATTCACCCACGAGTACCAAGTATATTTTGAGATGCAGCATGTGTGTGACCAAGACCTCATGGGCATTTTTACCATGTGTTCATTCTACCACAATTTTCCCATGTTTACGTGCACCCATACATATTATATATAATATTTAAAGGACATACCAAACAGAGAATTGGAGAATGCAAAAATAAAATGTATAGAAAAAGTGGAATACTGAAAAGATAAATTACAATTAAACGTTAAAACATCACTTTTAATAATTCATAAATTAAAATGTCCAAAAATAGTGGACAAGTTGACTTTTATTTAATTGTCATTATACAGAATAATATTGATATAGTGGTAATGGCAATTGTCATGGTTCCCTAATGACCCACTCGAGCTCGTAAGATCGGGGACGAAATGTCAAGATAATTTATCTCAACAGACAATATTATGAGTAGACAGTACAAGGCTCTACTAAGCTATTGCCCAATTAACACTAGCAAAACGGTAGAAAAGTGGTCATTGATATAGATACAAAAAGATGATTTGCTAACCAGCTACAATATGTAAGGTTGCTGCAGTTTCACAGTTGCAGAAAATAACATTATTGTAACGTCTACAGCCTTGGTGTACTTATAACAGTTGTGGTACATATATCGACAATTACAATTCCCAACGGTATTATACTCTCTAACACTGGGGTGACAAAGATAACTACAGCTTCTCGGTAATAGTTAAATATGCACTTGTTCCAATGGAATCACAGGCACCGATCAAAAATAAATAATAAAATAGAATATTGTGGAGAGATCCTAATCTTAAGGATAACAACGAGGGGATAGTAGGGCTGTTTGAGCCCTTACCTATTGTGCCTTCGAGGGCAACCCTTATCCCAACAAAAGCTCACCCTATCCTTTGGGAAAGGTTGAGTGGATCTTTTCTCTGGGATCCAGCGTGGCTACTGTGGCTGTTATCTTCTTGCGCTGTTCCATGGCGTGCCGTTTAGGGATGCCAGGGCCGGTGTGACGTCATAGTCTGGCTTCCAGCATCACTGCGTGGCACGCGAGGTAGCCGAGCGCTCCATGACAGGCAAACACTAGTGTCTGGGGGAGGCATTTACTTTCCACCCCCTCATTAAAGTGCCAACCCAAGGCCATGTTAGCCTCATGATAGATACAATGCTGATATGCGGAGAGATCTGACTGCCATTCTGTGGTAAAGAAGTTTGCTGCAAAATTGAAAAAAAAATGTAACTGGATTTTTGCATTCTTTCGGATCAACAGCAAAAAAAAGATGTGAGGGGGCGAGGTCTGACCGCTGAGCCGAGTGGAAGCATGCTCCAGCAGCTTCTCCTCTAAGACACTAAAACAGCCGAAATGCACAACAAATGAGGCTAAAATCTCACAGAAAGGATACCAGAGAAGAAGTGACACTGGTACCAAACAAGCGATGCTTCATGACACTTTCACCTCCCCCTCAAGTGCGGCCTACAAGTTTGGTCAGCGTGTGGGATACATGGCCCCCGATCTCCCCCACCCCCAGAGATTCACCTGCGCCCCAGAGAAAGCGTGGCAGAGCCGCAGGGACCCAATCCGAGTGCAAGCACTGCTCCCAAAATGGCAGAGGCAGCCCAGGAGGCGAAAAGTCCAATGTAGAGCTCCAGCTGTAAAAGATTGTAGCAGAGCTCCCTGTACCCCTGGCTGGGTACCTCTGCCAAGGACGGCTTATTAACTGGAACAGAGGACAAACCTCAGCACTCTAGCCCTCAGTTGCCGTGACTGGACTGGGGCCCTGGAACCACTCCCTCCTGGGGCCGAATGGAGAATTCGCCCTAGCAACCCCCAGGCACTGGACGACACTCAGTCCTGGGAGCTCTAGTCCTTACCAGGACTTTCCATGTTGAATCCTCCACGCTGGAACAGTGATTAGCCCTTTCCCCTCCCAGTAACCGGACAACACCTAGTTCTGAGAGTACAAGCAGGAATACGTTTATTGGCAGCCACAACTGGCCTTATATGCAGGTCCCCATGCAAGGGGCACTCCCCCCTGGACCTGAGAGTAGACTACAGTAAAAACACACACATGATTACATTGGCTCTCAGGTCCAGGACATTCCCATACAAAACAAGATAATCCCTCCTCTGTGCCTGGGAGATAATTGAGTCAAGCACTGTATTAAACTCAATTATCTCCAGGCACAAAAAAAAATAATAAAAAAAAACCAAAAAAACAAACACCCCAAAAGTACCTTAATACATTAAAGGACCACTCTAGGCACCCAGACCACTTCAGCTTAATGAAGTGGTATGGGTGCCAGGTCCAGCTAGGGTTAACCCATTTTTTTTATAAACATAGCTGTAACTGACCGTTTCAGCACACAAGGGGTTAAAACCGTTTAGGCGATCGTCCCCTTTCAGAGATGCAGGCACAGCTACTGTAGAACACCAAAGTCCTGAACCGCATGTAAGGGAATGCTCCAATCTCCCGAACTGCATACAATATAGCACTCCAAACTCCCGAACTGGAACCATACGAATAGCTGCTAGTAGACGAATAGGAAAAGCCTCCAAGCGGCTTACACTCCTAGCAGTCAGTCTCTATCAGCATACAGTAAATCCCCCCAAAGACTCATCTGACAAGGCTCCGTGTTGAGGGTCAAGCAGTGGTCTGTTTAATGAGGGCTACCTGCCCAGTATTTATGCAGGTCTCCCACCTGGTGTACACTCCCCTAGGAAATCAAATGGGAGACTGACAAAAGACAGACGATCAGAAAAACAGAACAGACAGTCACATTACATTCCCACAATGCATCCTGGCTTCCTCCTCTCTGCCCTGGAGATAATTGAGAAGTAATTCAATTATCTCCCAGGACAAAGGCAAATCGCCATTATGCACGCTGGGATACTAACACAAGAATTACTATTAAAATATACCATGCAAGACACATAACATTAAAATCATACATTTAACCAGATAGCTCAGGTCTGAGCGCACATTATTAAGCGAATGGCGCTCAGACCACACGAATACAGTTTAATCGCCATGGAGCCAAAGTGCCCACAAAGTCAGTTCTCATACGAATGGGCTCCACGGGATTCCTATCTGGGGTATAACATAGTCAGGTAAAATTCCTGAACACAGGGCAGTTTGCGCACTCCCGCCGAACAAGAAAGGAGGTTGGCGGCTTCAGCGGTGTTCGCGCCAAACTGTGTCCGATTTTAGTTCCATGAGTTAGGTGTCGAACACCGCTGTGCGTTTGCGGGTTTAAAATGGCCGCGACCTCGTGTTCGTCATACGAATGGCGGCTACCCAGTATTCGTCAATTAAGCTGCGGTTAACCGCAGCTTCTGGGAGGCTAATTGCCGGCACACTCCAGCTCCCAGGTGGTCTATTCATTTGTGCGGTTGTTCGGTAGATTGAATCACTACACCAAGGTTTTTTATTTTTAACTATTTGCTATTGAGCGTTGAGTGTTGACAGATGATGACAGACAGTGAGCGTTGGGTGATGACAGACATTGAGAGTTGGATGATAACAGATTGACAGATAATGACAAACATTGAGTGTTGGGTGATGACAGATAATGACAGACATGGAGAGGTAGATACATCAGCACATATTTGTGATGTGATTGGCAACCTACCTATGGGTGTAGATATAATGAATTCCCCTCTATTTCCATATTCCAGGTGATAAGTTTTAATGAACTCGTCTGGTGTTTGCATGTAAACGCAGGACTCATTGTGAAGGTACGCTGTAAAACCTTTTAATGTACACTTAAATATTATTTGCTTGGAACTGCAAACGGTCTTCATATGCATGATAACAATCATGTGTCTGTTTGCCAGGTTCAAAGAATTGTTGCAGAATTCATATTTCTGATTTACAGACTTTACACTGGGTGCTGGAGAGCCTGCGGGAGGAAGAGTACAGGATTAGTGAAAATGAAATGTGTGACTATCGCCATGTCACTCGGAACACGCACCCTCTAACTCCACCCATTACTGTGTCACTCAGAACACGCACCCTCTAACTCCACCCATTACTGTGTCACTCGGAACACGCACCCTCTAACTCCACCCATTACTGTGTCACTCGGAACACGCACCCTCTAACTCCACACATTACTGTGTCACTGGGTGCGCTGCCGGCTTGCAGCTTCAAAAGTCCTTACATGAATTAATTCTCACATCCACCTCTCCCCAAACCACCGCTCCAGCCTACCGTTCTCTCAGCCTCATGTATCTCATTTTCAAACAATGTCACAAAATAGAACATCACAAGTCCTGCTACCACCACCTATATCACCAGGGCCGTCTTTAATATTGATTGGATCCTGGGCAAGCATCTGTTTGGGCCCCCTGGGCATGCAATCACTCCCTCCACCCCAACCTAGAGGCGAAACTAATGTAGAGAGTGCCTTGGTGCAACAAAAAAAAAAAAAAATTCAGGCCTGCCCTGTAGCACAAGAGTAAAGAAAAGATAGATCCCCATCTGTCATACAACTCCTGCGATGCTATGCCAGCTGGGGATCTACCATCCTTGCAGGGTTGTATTTTTGAGCCGTGTTTGTGCAAATGAATGTCAGCATGTTATTGTATAGAGTGTATTTGTGCATGTAGGAGTGTATTTGTATGTACTGTTACCATTGGAATGCAGTGGTGTACTTGTGTGTAGTGTTTGCATTTTAATGCAGGGATGTGTGATTGTTTGTAGTGCTGGCTTTTAAATGCAGGTGTACTATTGTGTGTAGAGTTGGTGTTTGTATATAAATTTAGCGTTTTAATACAGGAATGTGTTTGTATGTAATGTTTGTATTTGCATGCAGGGGGGTGTTTGGATGTAGTGTCTTTTAAATACATGTGTACATTTGTGTGTAGTATTAGTGTTTCAGCAAACTGGTGTGTTTGTAATGTTTGTGTTTGCAGGGGTCTGTTTGCATGTTGTGTGATTTCTATAACATATACACATACACATTAACACGCAGATACACACATGCTCACACCTTGACACATACACACACCCTTTGACACACAGATACAAGCACTTTGATATACACACACTGGCACAGGTATATACACACACACATACATAAAGGTATAAATGCAGGGGTGTATATGTGTACAGTGCTAGAGATGGAATGTAGGAGTGTATTTGTGTTGGCATTAAAATGCTGGGCTGTATGCATTACCACACACTCAGATGCACAGTTACACACACACCAGTGCACATACAGGTGTATGAGGTATACATACACACAGAAACACTGACACACAGACAAACACAGCCAGATACACACAAGGACATAAACACAGCCAGATACACACATATATATGTGTACATTTACATATTTTAATCTCTGCCTTCTAGCAGCTCTTGGACAGCAACTCCCAGCAATCTTGGCCAATATAATGTCTCAACTCTGTTCTTACATACTGTGATCCTCATTTGCAGGTAGCACGGTCCTCTAGGGCAAAAACCATGCACAGTCCTTGTAGTTGCATATACTTCAGGCACTTTATTTGCAAATCCACACAGGATACAGCAGTAAATTAAAACATAAATGTAACACAAAACCCTATAAACAAAAACCTAGCTCGGTCTGAGCACTAACTCACTTTGAATAACCCTCTCTATCAGGGTTAAACTAACAAAACATACTGCACCAACCTTATTAGTTAGCAACACTCTGCTAGCTAGCCTGTTGCTTTCCTTTCTGCACTCCCAGTGCTCCAAGCCAGCCTTGCTCTGACTGCTTTGCTTTCTGCACTCCCAGTGCTCCAAGCCAGCCTTGCCCTGACTGCTTTCCTTTCTGCACTCCCAGTGCCCCAAGCCAGCCTTGCCCTGACTGCTTTCCTTTCTGCACTCCCAGTGCTCCAAGCCAGCCTTGCCCTGACTGCTTTCCTTTCTGCACTCCCAGTGCTCCAAGCCAGTCTTGCCCTGACTGCTTCCTTTCTGCCCTCCAAGTGCCTAGTCTCCTTGACTCTATCTGGAGAGAACAGCCTCTCTCTCCTACCTGCTTCCTGGGAGGAAGCCAGCAATCCCTCTCCTTTACCTGCCTAGCAGGGAGGGGCTTATTACCACTGCAACAGCTCATTAACTGCAGCTGAGCAGTGGGTTGGAGACGATCCAAAAAAACCCTGGCCTGGATCCATGTCTCCCCAGAAAACCACTAAACTGTGGAGTGGAGCATTGGCCCACCCTTCTCTCCAAATGCTCCACCCCAGGGGCCCATTACTAAACAGTGTGTTGTGTTGTGCAAAACACAAACTACACATACTCCCCCTGGGGTTAAAAGGCCTATCTGCCTTCACTTTATCACAATACCCTGGTCCAGAATTTGGCAAAAGTGACATTTGAAAATGGTGTACAGCCTTTGATAACACTTGATGCAATAATATGTTAAAATAAATACTTTTAAAATTTATATTTAATAGGGAACTGTCAGGTTCTTCTAGGATTTTTAACATGTACTTATTCCCTGTGTGTTACATTACAAACACCAACACTTGAATAAAAGTGATATCAGAAATTAGCAAAACAAAAAACAAAACATATTTAGCCACCCTCCTGTCTCCTTACCTTTTGGGTACAGAAAGGTGGCTTCCCTGGGGTCCAGTGGGAGCTTGCTGGCCCAGGCTGATGGGAGTCTGCCATCAGCTTTCTCAGTCCCTCTCCCCCACAATGCTTGCATCCTCCATGTGGTGTGTGCCTCCTCCCCAGCGGCACGGAGGAGGAAGTGATCAGTTCTTACTGGGAGGAAGCAATCTGACCTCACTGCCTCCCAGCATGCCCAGGAAACAAAGAGACTCACAGGGCAGTATGTGAGGGGGCTAGCTGTGAGTATGTAGTCAGCCACCCCCAATATAAACAGGGTCCCGGGCCGGTCCAGAGCAGTATTAAAGGGCTGTGGCTCCTGATTACCTCAGGTGCCGCAGGGGGCCCGTGGGGCAGCTGCCTTAGGGCCCCCAGGAGTAACTGGGCCCGGGGCAACTGCCCCTTTTGCCCCTCCTTAAAGACGGTCCTGTATATCACCCTATTCAACATTAACCTACTATAACAGTTTAACAGCTTTTACTGCTGCAACTCTTCCCTTTCTTATTATTCCATCCAATGTCACCAGTTATCCACCAAGTCTGACTGCACCCAAATCTAAAGGGACACTATTGGCACCAAAACAACTTTATCGGAATGAAGCAGTTTTTATGTATAGATCATACCCCTGCAGTCTCACTGCTCAATCCTCTGTTATTTAGGAGTTAAATCACTTTGTTTATACAGCCCTAGTCACACCTCCTGGCCTGTGACTTACACAGCCTTCCTAAACACTTCCTGTAAAGAAGCATCCAATGTTTACACTTCCTTTATTACGAGTTATGTTTAAGTTAGAATTTCTTATCTCTTTCTCTGTTAATATCTTGCTACACCCTGTAGGAGCCTGCTGTATGAAATTAAAGTTTGATTTATGGAGCAGGAGAAAACCTCTAAAGCAAGTTGTGTTTTTTTTTTTAATGATATTTGAGTATCAAGTCATGATGCATCAGAGTATACACCAGTGTTACATTTTGCACAAGACAATGTAGGGTGGGATTTTGTTTACATAATTCTGACACAGTATGACAGAAATGATATAGAAACATCACATCATGATACGTAGTCACTTAGATTTGAAGGTTTTAACAATATAATCATAAAGTGACTGTTAGACTGGTACATGTGGCAGTTGTGCTGCTTTCGATATATTGTATATTATCGGTCCTGTAGCCTAAATAGACGTGTAGGGATCTAGGCCCAAAGTAACTGTATAGTAGATGTCCCCCTTTATGTGTCTGCACTTGTTGGTTCTCGGTGGTGTGTGGATGTCATGTAGGTTAACCATGGTTGCCATATGAATGTGTATTTATTATAGTTGCCTAGCGAGTGCCATCTTAGTTCAAGAACTCGATAGTGTTCTATTTTCATGAACCATTCCCTCTTAGTCGGTGCCTGCTTAGTTTTCCATTGCATTGTAATTGTGGCCTTCCGGCTGTGAGTATGAAGTAAATCATGGAGCAGTTTAATTTAGTTAGGGGTGTCCCCTCTGAAAAGTAGGAAGGATTCTACCTCCTGGAAGATGTTTATCCACTATAGTCCTTATGGTCTCCCCAACCGACTTCCAAAAGACGGTAATAACGTCCAACTTTTAACCCCTTAGGGACACATGACATGTGTGACATGTCATGATTGCCTTTTATTCCAGAGGTTTGGTCCTTATGGGGTTAAAGCTACTTAACATCTGACTAAAAATGAAACCATTTTGTTTTCATGCAGACTGTCAGTTACAGCCAGGGGAGGTGTGACTAGGGCTGCATAAACAGAAAATATATATATTTAAATGGCAGAGAATTAAAGGTAAACTCCAGAGTCAGGAAAACAATCCAGTTTCCTGGCACTGCAGGTTCCCTCTCCCTTCCACCCCCCAATCCCGGGTTGCTGAATGGGTGAAAACCCCTTCAGTA